GTGTTTAACTGAATTCACATTTAGACATCAAAATAGAAGTAAACAGACTTCACAAAAAAAATAAAAAGCAGAAGATCAAACCTTTCTGAAAATTAAGCCTTTATTTAAAGAATCTAAATAATCTGAATAAGGATTTATGTGCCTACATTTTGAACGTTCAAATTCAAAAGTCCATCTTAAATGCAAGACATGTCACGGGCTTCAGTCTTCGGACTTTTAAAGTAACCAGTGCTACGCACTAATTCCTTCAAAATGGATTTTTTTTGTGAAAATAGTATAGTATATTTAAGGCATTTTGCATTAGATACTTCAAAAAACTAAATTCTTATTGAAAAGAGCAGTAACTAAGTTCCATTTAATTTCTAAAATTAGGAGAGCTATTAAATATACTTTTGACATAGATATCTTTTTAGAGGGTTCTTCAAGAGTATCTAACTCCACGGGTTTTAAGGGCATGTATCTTTCCATGTATTTTTGGCCCATGTATAAGGACATGTATTTTTGCCATCTTCAGTGGCAAAAATAATTTTTCAAAACCTGTTGCTAGATGTTAACTCATGAACTCTGAAAGTAGAGTGCAGGTAATACTACAAATTCCTTATAAAATTTGAATGGCACATGACAACCCTTCACAGTGCTCTGGAGATATGCTTTGTAATATCAAATGAATGTAGCTGTGAACATTATTAGGAAGAACAGTAAAACTGTCCAGTCTGATCATTTACAGGGGAGTTCTCTCTTCATTCCCCAAAGTGAAAGAAACCTCCCAGGTTCTCCTGTCACAAGTCTTGTACTAATAGTAACAAACGCTGTAGCACAGAGCAGAAATATCTTCCCAGCTTTCAAATATCGAGCAGGACTGTCAGTGTCAAATCTACCCTGTCCCTGCTTATTTCCTTATCATAGGTATCTTCAGTGAGGACGGTGGGAGAGAAGCAAGTACAGCATCCAGTGACCTACAAATGAGAGAATTTGAAAGGGCTTTCTCCATAAATTAGATGACAATGCTGTCTCTCTTCTTTGACCAAGAAATGTTATCTTTTAGCAGATGCTGAATTTTGGTTTAAAGACAGCAGTGGTGAATCCACTGCATTTCCAGGCAAGCTGTTCCAAAGGCAAACAGCCTTCCTTTCAACACTTGCACCATATTCCTGTCTGAATATATGAAAATTTCAGGGTTTTGGGGGACACACCCTTCTTTTTTCAGTCCTTCAATTACTATGTTAGAGCAATATAGAACACCTGAAAAATATTTCTCATCAAAGGATTCTACAGATTCATCTTCACAATCAACCCAAGGCACCTTCTGTGCTGAACTACAAGGGGAGCAATTGGCAAAACTGGTATGACATGCACTGATTCCCAAATGCCCAATCTAGAAAGACAATCGTGCTGTTTTGCCACAAAATAACTCAACTGTCATCTCTCTTTAATTCAACTTTCTATTTGTATTAGGAACTCTTAAAATAGATTTCTCTTTGAAATCACACATTGCCAAACAACTAAAACCATGCATCTATTAAGCTTCAGATTTCTAGTGATAAAAAATGTAAGATACGAGATTTCTTTTGTTTAAAAGTATAGTAAAATTATCTTAGCTTCTTGCGAGGAAATAGGAGCAGTAAATGACCTAGCTGAGGCAAGGTCATTTGTTTCTGCTTTGAAAACGGGACTCTTCTTGGCCAGGAGATTTGGACGTTGCTTTCTGTAGTGTTTCACATCTCAGATGCTTCTAATTCTTCTGTTGTATTCATAAAGCACGTTAATAAGGTACTTCAGTTAGAAAGTAATAGCACGTCTCTTCCATGAGACATTTGCAGCTTTACACTGCAAGTATGTAGCACTGAGTGTTTTGTTTTCCTGCTTCTAAAGCAAAAATTTAGTACTTTATTTTCATATTATGCAAGCAATAGGAATCAAATGGAATTGAATATGGGCCAGTTTTTCTGTGGTGGTTGTTGCAAATGGTTTTGACTATTGTAAAAGTTGTAAAAGGTTGTAAAAGGTTTTGACTATTCTCAGTGCTGTTTTCTGACCAATGATGTTTTATGTTACAAAAAACACTGGTCTACTGCCTGTGGTTAAAAGTCATCATTTGAAAACTAAAGATGAAATGCAATCATATTCTCATCTGAAAATTCAAGTTGTCACAGATCTGAGATTACTGCATGCTACAGGGGTAAGAGGAAAAGCCACCATTCTTGTGCCTGTTCTCTGTGCTTTTGGAAAGCATTTTCCACAGTCCGTTTTCCACTTATTCCGTATCGCACAAGAAACAAGTCTTTGATGTTTGTGTGGGATTCTCACATGGCCACAAAGACAGGAAAACATATTTACGAACAAGGGAGCTCCAACTGTATTGTTGGCAGGTAGAGAACCTGAAACTCCTTTTAACACCTTGCTTATTGAAACTGGAAATAATTTAACAGAGACACCCCTCTGGATGAAACTTCCTGACAGCTGAATATGAATGCGAGGACTTTGCTAGAGTAGCTATAAAGGGCTCAGATAAAGGTCTTACTGCTTGTGAGGAGACAGAGAAAGCTTTGGGGACTTCAGTGCTGCAGCTAGGAGAATATTTAGCCAGAAAGAAAGAGGTATTGTATAGTATTTTATACAGTGCACACATTTTAGCTTATACCATGTGCATAGCGTACTGTCCAAAAATAGGGACTTTTGTGCTTAAAGACCACAGAAACAGGCCAGTCTACTCTTAGAGATGATGTCTGGCCTAGCTAGGACATAGACTTGAGATGGTGTAGCAAAAACGTGTACATAAGAACGTTCTCAGCTTCCCCCCTATAGTAAGATTGAAACAAATGGCATCTTCTGAATGCCACAGGCCTGGTTTTATCAGTGATACAAGCATACAAGCCTCCTCATGCTCACTAATTGCAAGATCTCATCACGAGCCCCTTACTTACCCTTCAGCACTCACTGCAGTGGCCTTTAGAAAATGGCTTGGAACCAGCATTCGATTTTATTCAAACCAACTGGTTTGAATATTTATAGTTCATAGTTATTTATATAGTTATACTAGTCTATAGTATAGTTTATAGTTATGCATCTACAGAACACTTTGGGATTTAGAGCTTGAAAGCATCCTGTACGAACATGGCTGGCAAGTGAGGACCATGCATACTCCTACCCTACTTCAGCAGGGCTGAGAACCTAGGTTGTAAAACCCATAACCAGAAGCCGAGTGGAGCCTTATTAGTAGTTACTTTTTAATAAGGATTACTATTGTCTATTATCCTTGAATGAGAAAAAACCCCTTTTGATACTATATCCAGGAACTACATTTTCTTTCTTGTCTCTTTTTCATATCTCACCACTTAAAATCTCACACTTACTGGGTAGATGCCAGACATAATGAAAACATACCTGCTGCTTTCTAAGCCTCTGCAATTTCTCTATCCACTCCCTTTTGCACATGGGATAACTACATCCGTTTAGACTTAAGATTTTATACTTTAATAGGCCTTATAAATGCTTTCAAACTTGAAAAGAAAATGAGAAAGATTTTGATTACGATGGAGAATAGAAGTCGTTAAACAAGTTAATGCTGAAAAATGAGACACGAGACCTAAACAAACTGGGAAGTGGCAAAAAGCCCATTTGATTATGAGCAAACGTACAAGACCACGCACAGCCACAGTTGTACAAATCCAACAAGAGATTTCTACTGCAAACAATGGTCTTCTGAAACAGAAGTCTCTGCAAATGGACAGTAGCTTGTAGAGCCTGTCTAAAAGTGGGATGTTAAGGGGACATCCAAAGAATACAGGCACTCATTGCTCCAACAGAAAAGCATAAAAGAGGTGGCTACAATGGACTTCTGAGCATCGTATCCACTACATTTTAAGTTGAACATCACAAAAGGCAAAATCCCAAACTCATACATTTCTTAGCATACAGCCTGGGTGTTGGTAGCCTACACCAGACAACCCTCTCAGCAACATCTGTCAAGCAAAATCAGAAACCTCTCTCATGGTTCCTTATACCCTTTTAATATATTTTTATGACGGAAAAATCAAAGTCTCAAATCATTTCTAGCAGTCCAAAGAGATTTCTGCGACACCCAAAAAACTCCCTTCATCCTTGAACTCATTTTTGAACTTTGGTTAAACTGCCACAACCACTACTGCATACTAAGTACAGGCTGGTTTCAAAACAGTTCAGTGTACTCAGGAACTGCAGCATTTATTTATGCATGGTGTGCAGGCTCACAAATTATTTACTTAGGTTTGAAACGGCTGCATAACATGACTGAAATGAAGCAAAAACCAAGGATGTAGTATGTAAAAATAGCATAGAATGACATAAGGACTACGATGTCAGTAAATATGTCCTGTATAACTATAGACATGGTATAATACCAGTTCCTTTCCAGACTACAGCATATGGCTCTGTGCTGCTTAGCTAGACACCATCTTTTGTATGAGGCAAGATTACAGTTAGTTTTCACATTGGTATTAAAATATTGTTTAATTTCTACGTGCTTTAGCATTAACACCCCTAGCATGAGCCTAAAAATAAACAAAGCTAATTATGTCATTAGATTTCTATGAAACTGCAAAGATGAACAGTACTTCAAAAGTGATCTAGTTTTTCTTTCTGACATCCAACACAGTGTCTCCGAGGAAGTTCAATATACGGGGTCAGAGAAAAAGAGGAAAGCATTTAAGGAGCAGTACTTCAGCTATAAAGGATTTTAAAGCAAAATAAACTTAACTTTGCATTTATCCAGCCATATCCATATTAACATATTACAATTTTAGTTCATTTCTATGTCCTTTTTTCAAGATTATATAATTAAATATTTTCTAACAGATTTTTTAAGAGTCACAGTTAGTAACACGCTTGATTTCAGATACTGCTACACTTGACTCAGGATATTCCCCGTAGACCTACTAATAAGGTCCCTTCTCTTTAATTTTTTCTTCCCTGCGTTCTTATTTTTTACGCAAACCCAGTACCTAAAAGAATTTTAAACTTACCAAATGCCCTACAGTTTTGTATACACTACTCATGAGCATCAGTTTCCAGCGGTCCTCTAAATTCTCTGGGATGGGTGCATAAATGTAGTAAGCAATAAGAGCAGAGGCAATGAAGAGACATAGTGATTTAGTTCCCATGTTCCACAAGAATATTTCCTCCAAGTCTGATCAGTCTAAGTGTGACTCCTAACAGTTACAAGCCAGCACATGCTGACAGGGCAAAGTTAATCTGCTGTTATGTTTGGATCACGCCCAGGAGGTGAGTTCTCCTCTCACCCCACCGAGGTTGTTCTGACACACAGGGGGAAAACATGTTTCATTAGCAAGTCAATCAGCCCCTCAGAGCAGACTGAGTCAACGTTTTAACTCAAGATTAAACATCAAGGCTCATACACAGCAATCACGCTCACTTTGGCGTTTGGCAACAACAGCTAGCAAGGAAAGCTTTGGAGAAAAAGGGACGGTTAAAAAAATAAGGAACAGAATGCAGCTTGGGAACTAAGGGCCCCTGCAAAGTGATAGTCAAAGGCAAACTTATTTATTGAATATTCAGGAGCTATTTGTTTCTTTATCATAATGTAGCATGAGCTTCAGTTTAGTTCAAACACCTACCACTTTAAAGAGATACCAAACGCCTTTAATGGATCAGACCAAATAATCATAATCTACTATCTTTTCTCACGCAATAATCGGTAATTTTTGCTCGGGAGAGAGTGAACCCTTTCTCTTGTAATAATACACCGAGCCAGTTGTGCAATAATATATTTGGTAGGAAAAAAAAAGAAACCTTTCCTAATCTTTACAGGGCTTCTAGTTAATACTTGAGAGATGAGATTTAATCGTCAACTATTCTCAGGATGAAAAAATTTCTATCCATCTCCCAGAGGTAACCACTTCTGCATAGAGAAGTGAATTCTGAGATAGGTAACAATTCCACTGAGGAAATGTGACAAGCACAATAAAAAATGGGTGAGAAAAATGGAAAAAGCACCAAGGGCCCTGCTTTAAAGATAAAATGGAAAGATAAAAAAACTCAAGTAAAACTTGGTTTACATTTTTGCTGAATTATTACGAAGTGCAAAGGAGCACCGCCACTTGTTTTCTTACACTGGACTTACTGCATTTTGATCAGCCCTTGAGGATGGAGCACCATTTGGAAGACTAGAAAGCATGAAGCATCACAAAAGACTGAAAACTGAACTGTATCTCATCAGTCTAAATACAGAGGAGGAGGAAACTTCAGTCAGTCTACCAAATGTTTTGCTTACTTAAATTCTGGGCACCATCAAAACATTCAGCTGCCTTAAAAATCTAGCTGTGCTATCACTCCACAGGCAGGAATCGGACACCTTGTACTCTTTTTAGTCCTTCTGCAACAGAACAGCATGGTCACAACTTAACATTGTTGACACTACTCCAGCAAAAAACAAGAAAACACCTTTGTGGTCACTCTTCCTGTGTATGGAAGATCGGCACTAGATGTGAACAGAAAATCTTTTCCCTTTGCATTGATCTCTTCTCCCAAACGCAATTCAAGAAGAAAGAAATGTTATTAGCTCCCTCACAGAGAGGCAGGACAAATCCCATTTTCTCTTTTTCTTAGCTCATATCACCCATTTCTCAGGAATGGGCTACTGAAGTTCAGAGGCAAAATGTAGCTAACAGCTATGTTTCAGGCCACAGCGGAAAAGAAGTCAGCTTGGTGAAAAAGAGGAACGGAGAGAAGAAGCTCTGTCCTCCCTAGGCAGCAACGTTAGCTTTCAGGTCAGATTTCTTTGCACAATCAACTCTTGTAGGTTTGGAACTGACAAACCGCATGGAGAAAAGGACATAGCAAGGTCTGAAATTGCTAGAAAACTATTCTTCATACTTTACCACAGTTAAGAAACATTTCATCATTTCCTTCCAAGTATGGGTGTGAACTTACAGCTCACAGGTACTATGCACCATGCTTACCCTCAGTTCTCCTTTGGTTCATGACTATTCATGCTGCATAGCTTTCAGATACCAAAAGTCTCCTCATACAGCACGTGGAGAGAGGCAGGCTTCTGCACAGGGTGCCCGAGAGCAGTCGTAGCAGCCCCTTGCAGGCACCCTTCCTCCTCCAGCAAACCAACACAGCAGTCTACCCTAATTATTGGTGCTGGATGAATGGAACAACAAATTGAATTCACCATTTATCCAAGGCCATCCTCAAGCATCAACTTCAACGTTTAACTGCACATAACATACCAATTTTATTAGAGCCCATGCTGTAGAAAAGACCAGCTAAGAGGGCAGAAGACTTCTCTCAAATGGTAGGAGGGAGGTGCCGAACGAAAGCAGGTGTGCTCTATCACTGCTGTCTGTTACCTTTGCAGGTGCATGGTGAGGAGAGCTGAAGAGATGAAAAAGGGCAAGTTAGGAAAGTGCTTGGGGAGATATTTTGAATACTAAAGGATCTCATTTTGAGTCTGACTGGATACAACTACAATATTGTTTTCAAATAGCGCAAGTCTTCAGGAAATTACATATGGCACACATAACTGTGAGCATAAAACACAACGGGTCCAACACAACGGTCTCTCTACCATATCTATACCAGAGAGTAACAAACTTATCTTAAAATACAGATCAATTCCAATTCCCTACAGCCATTACCCTTCATGTTACTTTAATGGCTAGCCTCCACATGGTTGCTTCTTTTCAGAGCCACCACCATCATAGTTTTCTGTTGCATGACACATTCTTCCATTAGTCACTATTCTCTAAAACAAACAATCCTAGTTTTTCTGGTCTTCCTGAACATAATGCACCAACAAAAGATCCATTCATTGTGCCCTTATTTGTATCTTCTGCATTTTAATAAATTCAGGGTTGTGGTCAGTGGCGCAGAGTCTAGTTGGAGGCCTGTGGCTAAGCGGTGTCCCCCAGGGGTCAGTGCTGGGTCCAGTCTTCTTCAATGTATTCATCAAGGACCTGGAGGAAGGGACAGAGTGCACCCTCAGCAAGTTTGCTGATGATACTAAACTGGGGGGAGTGGCTGACACACCAGAAGGCTGTGCTGCCATTCAGAGGGACCTGGACAGGCTGGAGAGCTGGGCGGAGAGGAACCTCATGGAGTTCAACAAAGGCAAGCGCAGGGCCCTGCACCTGGGGAGAAATAACCCCATGCAGCAGTACAGGCTGGGGGTTGACCTGCTGGAAAGCAGCTCTGCAGAAAAGGACCTGGGAGTCCTGGTGGACAAGTGAAGCATGAGCCAGCAGTGTGCCCTTGTGGCCAAGAAGGCCAACGGGATCCTGGGCTGCATTAAGCACAGTGTTGCCATCAGGTGGAGGGAGTGGACCCTGCCCCTCTACTCAGCCCTGGGGAGGCCTCACCTGGAGCACTGTGCCCAATTCTGGGCTCCCCAACACAAGAGAGACATGGCACTCCTGGAGAGAGTCCAGTGGAGGGCTACAAAGAAGATGAGGGGACTGGAGTATCTCTCCTCTGAGGAAAGGCTGCGAGAGCTGGGCCTGGTCAGCCTGGAGAAGAGAAGACTGAGGGGGATCTGATCAATGTGTACAAGTCTCTGAAGGGAGGGCGTCGAGAGGATGGGGCCAGACTCTTCTCCGTGGTGCCCAGCGACAGGACGAGAGGCAACGGGCACAAATTGAAACACAGGAAGTTCTGTCTGAACGTGAGGAAAAACTTCTTCACTGTGAGGGTGACGGAGCACTGGCACAGGTTGCCCAGAGAGGTTGCGGAGTCTCCTTTGCTGGAGATATTCAAAAGCTATCTGGACACAATCCTGGGCAACGTGCTCTGGAGGACCCTGCTGGAGCAGGGGGGTTGGACTAGATGATCTCCAGAGGTCCCTTCCAACCTCATCCACTCTGTGATTCTGTAATTTATGGTATTTCAGACAACAAGGAAAGAAAAAAAGGATAAAACAAACATAACTGGATTAAAGGCCAAGGCTAAAACTGTAATTGAAATAGAAGTACTGCAACTGTAGCCCTGCCTGGAGCTAGCATTCCCCACAGCAGAAGCCATTTGCTCCATGACAAACTCATGATCTCAATTAGGATTGCCAATCACTGCATGTTGCACAGACATGTAAAGATTTGAATGAACTTGCTCAGATACCAGCCCACTACCTCAACAAGTAAGTACTGCTGTATCAAACTGAATTTTCAAGTTGTGAGGCAGAAGAAAAGAATAGATAGGCTTCTAAGTCATATCTATGCATAAAGGTAATACCTTCACCTCTCTCCATTCCTGGTGTACTTTGGAGCCTGCTGTAAAAAATAATCCACGTCAACAAAGGTCAGTTCCAAAGGACACCTGTTTTAGGTAATCGACACCAGGAAACAAACCTTTTTAAAGCAAAAACATGTCAGCAAGACTGTCCAGCAAAAAAGTATTTTCTAGCCTAAATTGGGAATAATCAAGTAAAACCTGGTTGTGACCCAACCCGTAGTGATTATACAGTCCACAATACAAGGAGACTTCAATAAATGATCTATCAAAGACTGCAGTACAATCCCCTTACCTACATTTAACGCCTGCCAATAGGATCTATTTCTAGAGAAAGAAGATGAGCAAGATGGGTGAAGTTACTAGCATCCAACCTATTGTAAGCTCTTTTTTCCTTGTATGCTACCTGTGGATTCAGTAGCTGTATCAAGGTACTTGAGCTCAGGGTCAGGGTACAGCCTGAAAGCAGGAGTATGAAAGTAGCTTATGTCGAAAGTAGCTTATGTCAACAGTGTGGAAAGATAAACACAGTCTCACTGGAAGTTTTTCCTCAATGAAATTAAAGGGAGCTGTAGGTTTATTATGTTTCTGTATCATTACATTTATTCCATTTTTATGATTTTAATTCTCTGTTTCTTTTAGAATAATAAACATCCTTGCAGTCTTAAAACATTGGCCGCTTTCTTCTCATGATTATACTACAATTCTAACAGGTCACCAGTACATATGAATGTGGACACTTGCCATCTGGCTTACTCCATTGCTTCCTTGGGTTCTTCCTTCAGCTTGTTTGCAGGACTGTAAGTTTGCATGTAGTTTGCATGACCTACGAGCAGCTCTGCCAGATTCATTGTCTAAACTGCTGTGGTACCAAAGCCTGACGGGGACACGTTTAGCAGACTATGGATTGTGACTGCTGGGTCCAACAGGAGAGTCGCCTGTGACTGTCAGGTCCCTGTCCACCCTTAACACTCTGGGCAGCCTCACTGGGACAAAAATAAACCCATCTGCTGTGAAACAGCTCTTCGAAGTGCTAAACTACTATTCTTATTAAGTCAGGCTAAAGATACCTCAGGTCACTCTAAAGCACTTTGTTTCATGCACAAATAACACGCTGTATGAATCTGTTTCCCAGGGGAAAAAAGTTATTTACTCATAGAGTCTATCTGGATTTAATTTTCCTTGGCAAAAGATTCACAGCAAGTGCTGAATTTTTGTCTAACCTTTACCCTACCGCACGTTATCTATAAAACTATAAATGGGACTACGCCCTTTTGATGTTTTCACAAGGAAGGCCTCACTCAGCTACACCTTCTTGTTATTAAACATTACAAACAGCCGTAAAGGAGTTCTTTCTTTTTCATTCTTTTCTGAAGAGCTTAGCCACACCAAAACCTGTTTATTCAGGGTGCAAAAGGAGAAAGATGGGTGAAGATAAAGAAGCACTGAATGGTAAAGAGCAGGAGCGGAGAGAGTCAAGGAAACAGAGGTGCCAACCATAGAATATGATAGTGGAGTTTGCAA